CGCGATAATTAGGTTTAATCGCGTAAAACGTGACTTGGAATCCTATAAGCGTTTATACATAGCCGACTGTTTTCTTTCCTACGATTTGCGATAAAATAACATGCTCGCAATTCGAATCTACAATAATGCAATACGGTACAGCAGTTATTTGTTATTCGAACATTTGTATGAGCTTTTTGTACGAAGCTTTTTGTTCTCTCTGATCCGAAGAGATGTTTTGAATAGAACAAATGCCGACAATACAAACTGGTACAGCGTTGAATTTATAATAAACTCACCTGGGCGCATTAAAACAAACAAGCGTTTTGATAGAAATTATAATTATAACTTTGATGGGTTATTTCTGGAATTTAGATCTAGTCATACAGTATAATTCAATAGGGGATTTATATGATAACGAAAATCATCTAATAATTTAAATATTATGCTGATATGACAACAATTAATTTTGATCTAATAAATCTTTAGAAGTTATATTACTACAAGAACAAACCTTTTGTAGGAGAGCTAAAAATTTTATGTAACAGGGTAAGTTATTGTAATGGGCCGAAAATCGAAATTGAAAATTTTTACATTTTTCGACGTTTTGAAGGTTTCTGAACATTTTGGCATACCTCAGAAAAAATGGATGTGTGTGTGTGTGTATGTATGTGTGGATACAAATTTCCAGTCACGTTTTAGGGCGCACGAATCAACCGATTTGAATGGTTCAAAAAACGTTCGATTTCTATTGATAGGGAAAAGAGCTGATTAGTTTTTGGCAAAGGCAGGCCCAGCCAATTCGAAGATACGGAGCTAAATATGTAAAAAATGGCAGTTTTTGAGAGAACTAAGCGTCCGATTTAGACGATTCAAAGAACTTTCTGCTTGTCTTAACAAAGTAATTGATTTTGGAAAAAAAAATTTTGTTTCAACTTTTTTTTTCAATTTTTTTTTGTATATTGAAAATAATTCAGATTTTATTTTTATTTCTGACTATAGTACTAATATAATTTAAACAAATAATTTCAACTTTGCAATTCAGTTTATATAATTCTTATAAATATTAGACAATGTTACAATATTCTATTTGAAAACATTCAACATTTCGTTACGGTACGGGAAGTTCCAGCAATTTGCCTTAAGGCACGATGCCATACATCCCACTAGTTATTATTTTTGTCTTGATTGGACATGTAAGCCATCCTGCATAATATTGTCATAGCTATTGTTCCACAGGCTGACGCCTACATACAGAACTGTGCAGGTCCGTCATTTTTGACAGGTAATATAAAATTGTACTATCATGAAATTTCGGTTTGCATTATTATTAACTAATGTTGAATTTTATATATTCAAATTGCTTCAAATATATCAATTTTAGATGATGTGTAACAATTTTTGTGATTGCTAAGTCACATCTGGGGTTAGTTGAAACAAAACCTTGGGGCTAGTTGTAACATACAAGAATTATATGCAGAATCAAGTGAAGATGATTGGGAAAGTTTAGTTTTTAAGATATGGGCACATGTAAATTAAGTTGCAGAAGACACTATATATTTTATTTATATTATCATTGCAGTTTACGTTGATTTATAAAAATTTCAATGACAGGGGAGATACCATATTTTTAAGTGTCTTAATTATAGTTTACGTTCAATTATAAAAAAAATTACTCATAGAAACATGTAAATTTTCTTAAAAATAGGTAGAAAATAAATTATCTGAGTTACTCTTGTCATTTTCATCGTTATTACTTGTCCCGGTAGATGTTACAACTACCCAGAGGTAAATAATTAGTTGTGAAATAATAAATAGTTTTGGAATTATTTATACTTATTTAGCATCTATCTAGCTTTATTTTGTTGAAATATAATTGACGATTAAATCTCCAGATATATTGATTTAAAAATAAAACTGTTACAACAAGCTTTAAGAGCTCCTCTACTCATTATAAGATACTTATCAACAAGGGCAGATGAACGAACTGGCGAAGCAATTAGATTACAATTCAACCCTTACGATGCAAATATTAATACATTACAACAGAATCCAAACGCATATATTTTTCATGCATGAAAACTCTTAATGTTCAAGTTCATTATATCTATCATTTCCGCCTGCTGTAAGCTTAACGAAGCAGCCAAAAATATTGAAATGCGTGAAAAGCAGCAATGTGCAGCGTTAATTTCCTATCCCGGAGAGGAATATATTTATTTCAGAGAACGAATATATCACAAAACGTGCATAATATTGTAGTCTGTTTTGTACTGCATAATGTATGCGCCAGGAATATATAATATGCGAGCTGCAGAATTGATTATTTACGTGTCGGAAACATATCGATGCAAGAGTTATGAGACCAAACTATATAGATGATCGTTTGTTGTATAGATAGGGAATATCGGGTGAAATAGATATAATTCACACCTGCCTTTAATTTGTTTTTTTTAGAAATTTCATGGTAGAACGAGTAATAAAGTATATCAGCATATCAATAGAAGAATCATCTGCTTTTGGTATAATTTCAAATATATTCAGATTTTCTTATATTTTATTTTTTTAATTTATTGAAATATTAATTTTATTTATCTATATAACAAGAATTTTAGATATTGAATAAATTTTTATCAATTTTACTAACATAAAAATTTTCTTTTAAAATATTATTTTTATTTGTTATCTTAGAAAAATCTTATTTACTTTTGTTAACTCTATTTGTCTCCAATAATATACTTTATCTTTAAATGCTCATTTATTGTCTCTCTCTATTATATTATTCGTCGTATACACGTATCTCACTATAATCTCTCTTTAACTGTTTTTATGCTAATATATTCATAAATTATTCTTTTATTATTATCATTCACTCATAGTTAATCTTATATATATATATATATATCCATACTACCACTCATACCAACTAACATTCATACAAAACAGCGTCGCCAACACTATTGATACTAATATTTCAATTAATGATTTTAATTTAAGAAAAAAAAATTAATGAAATAAATGTCCAATAAATCTTTTATTTTTATTTAAAAATGTCTTAAAATATGATCAATTGTCGGAATATTTTCTTGATTTAGGATTAGTTTTAACTTCTTAATTTTTGCCGATTGTTATATAATATAACATAGAATTATTAAGAAAATGAGACCATTTATGTTGTTTCTAGAAAATAATTAACCACTCATGAATGTGCATCGAATTCAATGTATGCAATTAATATGTGCTTAATTAAATTATTGAAATTGCCACGCATGACAACAGCACAGTAATACAATGAATACACACACACACACACACACACACACACACATATATATATATATATATATATATATATTTGTTATCTTACATTTGCAGACATTATGTATCTGTTATTATTATTATCCCCGGTTTCCCCTATGTGTGCCTATAGCTTTGGTGTGTTTACGGGCGCGTAGAATTTTAAATTAAGCCGTTCCACCAACTACGCGAGAAAATGTGCGAAACGTTAAAATAAAACATTTTGAACCTATGACATTTGTAAGTGGCTCTAAAATAAATTGTATGTGATGTTTATCAACTGTTCAGTGGTATTTGTTTCGTTGTCATGCTTCAAACTTTCCCATGGTTTCTTTTTATTATTCGAATAATTGATAAGTCAATTTCACCTTATTGTTAAAGAACTACATTTGGAAGTAAATGATTAAAGATCATGTATTCTAATTACAGAAACATATGCTTTTTCCAAAACATATATTGAATTTAAGAATCTTTTACATGGGTGTTTGAAAATTTATAATTGTTAATGAGTCCAGTCAATAGATTGAAAAGTTGACCATTATTTAACTCTTTTGCTACGAATGCCGTCCATGGACGACATCCATTCGACTACTTGTGTATAAGAATGTTGTTTGGGCGACATGTTCTGTGTCGGTCAAGATTTATTACTATGAGTTAAACAATTTGTAATAATAATTTTGATTCTAAATTTTAGTTTATTACATTTATAACGTAATTTTTTCAACACATTTTTATTGATAATGATAGAAATTTGTTAAATTTAATTTAATTTTAATTTGTTAAAACTATTATTCAAAACAAAAATAAATAAACGAGACAAATTGCAAAATGATCATTTGGAAAAACTTTTCAAGTGCAAATGGTAAATTTTCTTTCCAGTTCTTTAATCTATAAAATTACATATTTATTCTGACTTATTTTCACTACTTTATATACAAAAATTGCTTTAAAAAATAAAAGATATATTGCTTCAAATTACACAGAGCTTATTATTGAATTTAAAAAAAAAACAACAAAAATAAACGAGATTTTTTGGAAAACGATAATTTGGAAAAAATATTTCACGTGCAAATAGTGCTCTAGACGTGCTAGACGCTTTCTGTCCAGATCTTCAACATGTCAAATTATACATTTATTTTTACTACTTTATATAAAAAATTTCTTGTCTATAGAATTATTGCGTGAATATACACTGTGCCTATTGCTAAAAAAAAGTAAACAATTAAATGAGACAAATTGCAATCATCGGAAAAAATATCTCATGTGCAAATGGTCTTTTACACCATCTCTCTAGCTCTTGCTCTCAAATTACATATTTATTCTGATTTATTTCCATTTTTCCATATCAAACACCTCTTGTCCATAGCTTCATATCATTCATACCACTCCAGCATTAATGAAAAGGCATTACGAAAGCTGCATCTCTAATTTCATACAGCATATTCTCTTTTCATGTGAAACCCGATATAGCAAAATATTACCTTAGCTTTTTACCTCGTTTTAACGATCAGTGATAGTCATACGACCTGCATCAGGTACATACAAGGCTACTAGCATGTATTAATTTACGACGAGCTGTCATTACAAGACAACCTCCCTGTCGGTTATGTGTCGACAGGCGCACTCGACGCCTCGGCAAAGTCGAACGTAATTTATTTTCGTTTAAGTGTCGACTAATGTCGACGGGAAATTACACTTTTGCACCAGCGAATTCGCGCGCGAATATAATGGATCGAGATCCCATGACACTAAATGGTTTGGGATGTCTACGTCCAATTTGTTTATATTAGCTCAAGTAGACAAGTTACACTCAAAGATGAGATACTGAGGTAATATGATAGATGATAATTGTAGAATTATATTTTGGAATATGGAAACAAATCCATATAATCACATGTAAGACAATAGTCATCTTTTTTAGTTTGGATTCATATTGTGATTCTATAGTAATTGTATCATTATATTGATCGTGTTCCTGAGTTCTATTCTATAACAAGTGGTAATACTTTATATCGTTTATAATTATCTTAATTTGTGACTAGTCTGGTGCATGGCATTGTGCCTTAAGGCAAATTGCTAAAACTTCCTGTACCGTAATTAAAAATCTTGGTACAGATCCCAAAAAAATTTACACAAAATGTGTACACATTATTAAAATCTTGATAAAATATCTGGTAATTTGATGTACATATGTCCAATAAACATTTTTGACCGCCAAATGACTTTTTCTAACTTATTTTCATTGAGAGTCCATAACCGCTGGACCTGCCTTCCCAAAAATTTAATCAGTTCTTCATCTTGTCAATACAAGTAAAATGTTTTTTGAATTATTAAAATCGGACGCTGCGTTCTCTTAAAAACTCAGTTACCGTTTTTGGCACTTTTTGCCCCGTATCTTCGGAACGGCTTGACCTGCCTTCGCCAAAAACTAATCAGCACGTCTCCCTATCAATACGAATCGAATGTTTTTTGAATTATTAAAATCGGTTGATTCGTGTTCCCGAGATAGTCGATTAAAATTTGTATCTGCACACACACACATACATCCATTTTTTCTAAGGTATGCCAAAATATTCAAAAACCTTTGAAACGTAAACATAAATAAAAATTTTCATTTTCGATTTAAAGTTACGAAAAGTTAAGTTAGACTTAAAGCTTCGGAAGTTAAAAAGACATGACTACATATCATTTACTCAGTGATCATAAGTCATTTTTTATGTTAAAATAAAAACTAGATTTACTTGAATGACATTTTGACCACAACTAAAAATTTTACTTAATGGAATACTACTAATTTATTTTAGTGGAAATACTGTATTCTCTTTCTGAAAAAAAAAATCGGCTATCCCGGATATATTTTACTGCGATTTTATATTGATTATATTGAGCTATCTCATTGATATATTTTCTACAAACTATACATATACAGGGTGTTTCAGAATTTATTGTCAAATCGAAAGGGGGTGTAGTATTGACTGTTACTGTCCAGAAATTACGTTGTTTTGAAATTATGAGCTTTTAAGTGCAACCTAGAGCTTTTGTGAAATTGTGACTACTTTTTGGTCATTGTGGTTAATTTTTATTACTTTTGTTCATTTAAACTTTAGAACCGTAACCGTTGATACTATTTTTCGACAAAATTGCCCCAGGTTTTCAAGAATTAAGACATTTTTTTGAAGTATTAATCTAATTTTTTTTAAATTGATCAACTTTGAGACGCACTCCTTTAAAAAAAAATTCTAAAGTGTGTTGGCAAGTTTCATCAAATGTTGGTGCAGGATTGTCAAATGGTAAAATACTTGAATTAATTGTATTTTATAATAAAAAAACCAGTAAAAAAGAGAAAAGTCGCATAATTCAAATAAATTTGTTTCGCATAAGCTCTTGGTAGACGAGAGATGAATTATTAAAAAGTTTTCTATGACTAAACTAAATAAGTGAAATTAACAAAATAATGAATAATCTTGACCTATATTACATTAGGTTTATTAGAATAAATGTGGTATTAGAAATATGCGATTTTTTATTAATATAAATTGTTTACCATCTGCTCTATATCTTCTTAATAAAGATCTATTCATTAGCCGCAATGCAAGTCAGAGAATTTATTCTTGACCAGAAATGTCCAGGAAGATGGTATTCGAAAAAACACTTCTTTATTTTTTTAACACAGTTTATCTATGTACTGTGTCGTAGCATCTCCGACTTCAATTCTACTCGTAGAACAATATCGAATATTTGGATTGTTGTCTCATCCTCACAAACAAACTGATATTTGTGAACTGCTCGGAGAGCAGATACGTGACGATGATTATTTGCGAAACAGGTGACGGCGATAAGTGCTTTTAGAAACTTTCAACACTGTACGTGTAATATTGGAAATCGATTCAGAAACTAGTTTTTTGTTAAACGACTCAAACTTTTTAGAGTAATTAAGTTTTATGCGCTTTAGAAGCAGTAGTTCTTACTGTACGAGGTAACAGAAATTATAGACATAAAATTGTTTGATATTTGATCTTTATTTATTTGAGTTATTCTTACAATTTTAATTAGTTGAGCTTCAACTATTTATGATGTAACTATTGCGTAAATAATTGAGCCAACAGTGCGGATCCCCACATTATTAGTTGTACTCATTATTTATTATCATGATTAAATCCACAATATCGATATAACGCAAACATTGCGATCATAAAACTAAACAAGCTTTATTCCAAAATAGCAATGAATAATTTATATTTCCCGATCATCTCCACATGTAAAAGCGACAGGTACTAAATTAATATATTAATACTCACATCCTATGTTAAACCATTGTTTCGGATGATCAATCAGTGATTTCCGTAATTTGACTGATTGTGTTTTGTTTGATTTCAGTATTGGCGGTGCTATGCGACGCCCAGGCGCCCGTCGAAATATACCCACAAAATCCAGTGGTCCTGGAGGGTCAAAATCTCACCATGCTCTGCCGTGTGGGGGTGGATGTACACTACTGCAGGTAAAAATTAGAAAAAAATATATATTTTATTTTTATGTGCTCATCAACTATGCATCTACTGAAAAAAGTGCTTATAAAAGTTTATAGTAAACATTATGATCGTTCAATAAAAAATAGATTGAACAATTTTTTTAATATAGCAATTAAGAGACAATGAAATCTTATAAGATATTGTTACATGAAAAAAATAAAAAAGTTGTAATAGAAAAAAATAATAATTTAGAGTTTTCTCCATAAAAAAAATTCTCTTCATGGAGAAAATTCGAAATCATTATTTTTTTATTCTAACTTTTTTCTAATCATGGCAACAGAGTAGTAAGCCTTGCTATAATTAATTTTGACCATAAACTATTGCAAAATGATATCATAAAATATTGTCAATATCCTGATATATAATATTAACCACATAAACCATGATCAATGCATTCGATGATAAATCCAATCCAATAAAATAGGAATCAAAGAGTATTTGGCAGCGAAATATATATGACGGCTAAAGCAGAATGACCACATATTTTGTGGTGAATACCTGCCATACACCGTATGAAGTGCATTCTAGAGTTCAATTAAATAGTTAATAGAAAACACTAAATGTATGTGAATCGGTCATGAATAATAAAATTACTCACATTATTTAGTGGATAAATCTGCTGGTAAAAGATATATTTAACATTTGCATTTTTGTAATCTATTTGACCTAAAAAACAAAATAGTTCGATTTTTATACCTGGTTGTTGCAGAGAAAAGTGGTAGTAGATGGGAATATCGATAGTAAACTATCTATCGTTAAAATTTTGTTTGAACATTACTTAATTAAAGCAATTTAATTGTAATTTTCGATAACTTTATAATCTCAACTTACAATTCGTGCCTTTCTGTTAAGATTGTATACGGTAGAGCGGGGTTCAAAAGCGGGCAAAAGGGTCCACCACGATTATTTATTTATTATTATTATTATCTGTTATTATTATTTTAAAAACAAGGAAATTATAGAATTTATTAACGATTCTATTTTAAAATAGAAGACAAAAGATGTAAACTAGCCAAAATCTTATTTCCCACGATAATGGTCGTAAGAATCACCTCCTGTAACCATTCATCAATATTCATAACAAATATATTTTTTTGTTGGTATTTTTTCTTTTATTTTGAGCTCTTTTATTTAGTTTATAATATCTGAATTTAATTTTAAGTATACGTTATTTAATTGTTTTATACTATAAATATGTTATTTTTAAGTAAAATTCAACAGTTTTTCAAGAAAGCTCTATAAAAGCTCACATTTGGGTGGGGTATAATGGTCGAACTGAACCTTGGCAAAGGTGTAAACAATAAAAAATCGTTAATAAAAAAGTAAATTGAGTTTAAAAAAAAACAATTTTACAGGAAATAAATTAAATAAATAGTTATTCCAACTCTTGCGGTAAATAGTTTGGACAAAATATTAAATCAAAACAAGGTTATATACAATCTTTATAAAAAAATGTACCCGTGAAATTTATATTTTGCATTATTTTGTAACATCTTTTCAAAATTAAAAATAAGATGTTGGATCTATTCGACTCTTGGCTTTCCTATTTTACTCCGCATATGTGTTGAAAATGTACAGATGATAAATGTTAGAAAAATAGTAAAAAAACACATTTCTATAATTAGTATATGGGATTTTACTGAACATAGTTTGATAGTTCTTTGGTTGATACATGTTATTTGTTGTGATATAGTTCATCTAGTTTAGACAGTATAATTATTTGAAGTCAATTTGGGATCTATATGCTCCATTTTACTCTATATGACCGAATCATCAATTCAATTATTTTAATGCCTTTCGTTTTATTTCTACATAAAAAAATTTATAGTCATTTGCAACTATTGAGTTGTTTATCCAACATGTCATTATAATATACAATGTCCCTATTACGGCTGACAAATGTAAATAAACAAATTTGCTAAATGTCTTTAACTGGACAGTTGTAAATATAGTAGTAAATAAAAAATATTGCAAAAAATGGGAAAAATAAAAATATCGATGAAAATGTAATTGATGTTATGAATCTTATTATATAGACGAAAGTATTACAAGATTTTGAAGCTTTAGTTTAACCACTTTATATATTATATCTACGTTTTGGGCTCCGAGCACATCTTTTAAATCTATCCTACTATAGTTCCGCATTTTGTTCTCTACTAATATTATTGCAACGTGAGAAATTATATCACGCGTCCAAAATTCAATTATTCCGGGGATATGGATATATGTGATACTCACCTGAAAATCACGCTGAAACAATGTCACAGCCGTTATTGCATACTCTACGCTTGCCTTGCACTCACATGTGTTTTAAATTGAATGAACCAGTATTAAAATCAAAATTAAAAGCTTGCAATTAAAGCTTGATAAACAGAAACTTGATTGCACGATGGAATGAAATATGGGTTTTAATTTAATTATTGCAATATTTATATTTATTATTTAAATATTTGTTATGAATTCAGTTTATTACTTGATTTTTATTAATATTTGAATGCAACTAATCTGTATAATTTTTTAGTGAATACATAATACCTTTACCAATTTCCAATTACCAATTTATATAATTTGTAAAAATATTTTTAGAAAAATATTTGCAGATTACTGATAGTGAGAAAAGAAACGGGATTTAAAAAAAATAAATAAGTACTGATTTCTGTAACTTATCGTGCATAGGTTCCTACATATACATTAGAGTGGTCCTTAATATGGACAATTTCGAATTTCCTTGCTACCAAGGGCTCAAATGGTTCTAAATTGATAAAAAACAATTCTCTGAAAGTTCTTAATATTGTCTGTCAGATAGTAATTCAATCTACGTTTTGTATGGAAATAGCATGAAAACAATTTCAAAATTTTTTTAGAGGGTCGAATTCTCAATAAAAAATGGCACGAATTTTCACTTCTAGTTCATTTGTTGCAAAGTTATACCTAAAAAATTTTTTTTTAATTTTCAAAATTTTCTCCATGCTATATTCATACAAAACTTTGATTGAATTGTGCTCTATCTAAAAGACAATATTAAAAGCTAAAACTTTCAGAAAATTGTTTTTATCAATTTGGAACCATTTGAGCCATTTGGAGCAAGGAAATTCAAAAATGTCCATAGTAAGGACCACCCTAATGTACATATATCGTATATATGTATCTAAACATTCGTATAGAGCAACTGTATTTAACATTTATTTACCAGTAATTGAATTTATATCTAGCAGATTAATAAATTTATTCAGATTAATTATTTGTTTTTCACAATTTGCGTTGCATTATATTGTGATGGTAGTAAAATGTAACAAATATGGTAATACAATACTTTTACTATTATTTGATGAAGATATTTTTGGAATAAAACTTTTATCGCTTTATACATAATAATAAGAATCAGGATTGCTATTTGGATATGCGCCTAAAGCGAGGATAATATGCTGTAAAAACAATTATTTTGCTAAAATGCGCTTTACCTTATTACCTTACTTTGAATATTTATATTGACTTATTAACTTCCCTTATGGTAAGTTATAGTAATTACAAAAAAAATGAAAATGAACATTTTTGCATATCTTTTGACGTTTCAAAGACTTCTGATGGGACTAGTATTGACGAAATGAAGAACTGATCCTTTGGGAAGCCAGATCCAGTGTTTTCGGAGATCCATAAAAAAGTTTGAAAAATGCCATTTGGCGATCAAAAATGATCATTAGATTAACTTAATTATACATCAAATTATCAGATATCAGTTGTCATCAGGTTTCCGTACCAAGATTTATGTTCAAAGTTCACTCACATAGTTCAAATAAATTTCCTCAACATTTTCGGAAGTGTGGTTCAACCGAAATGAGTGGGTTTCAAAATTCAAAATTTTCGAAAAAATTCAAAATGTTCAAAAAAATTTAGAGTGCGATAGTCATATCATGCACGTTAGTTATAAATATATTGAGAAATATTTCAAAACCATGATGTATCAAATAATTGGAGCTATATTTAGTACAGTGTTCCATGTAAGGGCATGCATACGAAAGTAATTCAAGTGCATGGCGTGTTCTATACAATTCGTGTGTCAGTGCGCAACAACTAGGAATGCCTCCGAAATCACTTCATAATGTATTATTCAAAACACATTTTCCAGAAGTCTGAGCTGGTGAAAACTACGCTGTAGATATGTTCTCGAAAACGCTGCAGGTTATTGAATTTTAGATCAGGATCTAAAAAATGCCGTGTCCGATGGGATTTATCTGTTTCTCGTAACGTGGGAAAACGAATCGAATGATTTTTCAGCGGGAAAGTTTATAATAAGAAATATAGTTTGAATGAAGTCGGTTTTACACTTTGATATGATATGATAATTTTAGAAAGTTCTTTACGTCTTGGAAGATTGCCTTGAACAATTAGTTTCTTTCTTGCAAATCTAAACAAATATCTTAAAAAAGCTTATCAGCTTTTGAGACGTTTTATATGGCTTCGCTCTAAGGGTAGATAAGTTTTTTCTCTCTTTGGTTAGAACGATGTTCCTGGTTCGACCACGATTTGAGCAGCCAGATGTCAAGCAGAAGGGACATAGGTTTTTACTTAGAAACATAGATAGCCTATTAATAAGTATGTTGCCAAGTGAAAATAGCCCTTACCAGACATTTCTGCTTTAATAATATATCATCACTATTATAGATATTGTAATAATCAAATTGATCACATAGAGATTGGACAACTGTTCGGGTAGCCATCTATAATAAAGCTACTTTGTTAGTAAGCTATTCATTACAACAGCTTATATAATCCTCAAGTTCAAAACAAAAAACTTTTTATTTAATTAATAACATAAATTAACCCTTAACGAAAGAGTGCCGCCATACTCGTGACATTGTAAATATTCTTACATAGGTCTTAAGACGTACCAAGAAGTATTTCAGGCTTTTATTAACTTCCCGTAGGGTAAATTATAGTAATCGTAAAAAAATCAAAAATGAAAATGTTTATATAAATTTACGTTTCAAAAGTTTCTGAACATTTTGGCATATGTGTGTATGTGTGTGTGTGCGGATACAAATTTTTGTCGACGATTTCGGGAAATGGATCAACCGATTTGAATAATTCAAAAAACATTCGATTCGTATCGATAATGAGACGTGCCGATTAGTTTTTGGCATAGGCAGGTCCAGCCGTTCCGACGATACGGGGCAAAAAGTGCCGAAAACGGTAACTCAGCTTTTAAGAGAACGGAGCGTCCGATTTTAATAATTCAATAAAATTTTTTACTTGTATTGAGAAGATGAAGAACTGATTAAATTTTTGGGAAGACAGTTATGGACTCTCAATAAAAATAAGTTAAAAAATGACATTTGGCGGTCAAATATGTTTATTGGACATATGTACATCAAATTCTCAGATATTTTATAGAGATTTCGATAATGTATACACAGTAAATTAATATATATGTATAATTTTAAAATTTCAACTATACTTATATTTTTCTTTCTTCTTCTATTTCCAGAATTACAATACCCGGTCTGAAGAATTCGCTGAATTTGAAGTCCGGACAGCGTGTGGGAGGATATGAGTATTATGGCGCAGGCTTGGAGCAAGGACAGTGCGGCGTCCATATCGGATCGGTGACCGCCAAGGAAGCAGGAGAATTCAAATGTTCGATGGGAACATCGCCCATTGAAAGTGATGCCAGCACGACAATCATCGTAGCACGTGAGTTTGATATGCTGATGACATATTAATAGAGATGAATGGCAGTCTACTATACTGTTTTGAATGCGTATTATATTTACAATAAAGTGGAAAAAATCTGGAAAATTGACTAATTTTGAGCTAACATTTTTTTGGATTGGATTTTTTTGGATTATAGATATAATATTTTTCAGAAGGTTTTTTAGTTTTAACCCTTTTGTTATGGGAGTTCTTTTCCGCAAGAGTGTCACTCAATGGATAGACACAACGATACATTTTTAGATTTTACCATCATTGTTAGTGAAAATGTGTTGAAATATTAAAATTTTGCTTCTAATAAACTAAGAATTACAATACAAATTAGAATTACCGATAGTTTAACTCTAGTGATGAATTTTGAAGCGAAGTCCGACACGTAACATGTCGTGGACGACATTTGCATACATAGGAAGTCGAGTGGATGTCGTCCATGGACGACACTTAAAGCTAAAGGGTTGAGCTTTTTATATAATTCTATACAATTTTCTCCATTATTAAGTTCAGCTAGTAATATCGCTTTATAGTCTATTTCCAACCATATTGTGATATACTCGGTTGTTTTAATTTGTTTATAAAATAATATGTATGTAAAATTAAAGTTCAGTATAAGAGCTCTGCAAAATGTGGACAAAAATAATAATTTACCGTAAGATATAGTAATCGCAAAAAAATGAAAAGAGGCAGGTCTAGCCGTTTCAGAGATACGGAGTAGAAGAGTGAAAAAAATAGGTTTTGAGAGAACGGTGCATTCTATTAGTAAGAAAACATTTTGCTGGTGTTGAAGGTGTGAACACATAATTAGTTTTGAGGAAGGCAAGATTCACAATCTCGAAAAAAAATTCAAAACAATAAAATTTAATTTCAAAGTTTCAAAAAAATTCTTTCTTAAAAAAATATCGATAATGATTTGTATTTTATTTTAACTCTATCTAAAGTTCTAAAGCTCCCTTACATACTTAAAATAATTTTAACGTAATTCAGTTTGCATAATTCTAAAAATTATGAAATAAGGCCCTTCAAAAGTAGTCTAATATATAAGGTCTTATATTTTGTCCATGATATGCGAATAATGAATGTTGGTTCAAATTTAGTAAAAAATCATTCTTTTTGTAATATAATTAAAACGCGCATTGGAAAGAAGAACCTTTTTCAAAAACTCATACAAATTAGGGACAAAGTACCTATATCTGGAACAAATATTGCTTCTCAAAAATAGAGTTTCGGGACTATCTTGACTAAATCGAGATGTGTGGTCACCTTCGTTATAAAGCTTTTTCATAATCAAAATTGAATTTCATTTAAGGATTTTGCTATTCCTGTAAATATTTTTATCGATTGGTTTTCGCCATTCATACTCTTGAGGAATACAACATTATATAAGTACAAAAATATGCTTTTAGTCTATCCAGTTTCCTTAAAATAATATTTATTGTTAGAGCTAGTACTTGGAGATAGTGGATTTTTGTCATTTTTTACTTACATTAGCCACTTATTAATTTGAATATATTAATTTCTAGAGTCTATTGTTTTTGCTTATTAAGAAATAACGATCTAGTTTTCAAATAACTTATGCTTAGTTAGTATAATATTAGATTTTTATAAAAAGTTAATGCCAATTTTCAAATTTTAGGTTGCTATCGATAATTTTAAGCGAAATATTTAATATAGAACTCTAACAGCTAAATATAGTTTGATACATGCTTCCATAATCCCATAAATATTCAAGTTCATATTCACCTCGAAAAATGAGTTTGATATATTAGATTTTTAATTACATTAACATATCACCTCTAAAATATTTTCAACATAGTTGGAATAACTCATTGTACTTTTATTTTTTTCTTACTCAAAGTGAATATTTCAAAGTACATACACGTCGCCAGAAAGTTAATTAAAAATTCGTCTGAACAAATATTACGTCATTCAATCTGTTTTACACCATTTATAATCATAATGCATTTAATTTTAATTAAATATATTTAATTAAATACAAATTTTGACGTTAGGTGAACCATCCCCACCTGAAATGGAAACAAGCCCGGGAACACAGGCTCGCGATACCTTCCGAGCAAACGATATTTTGACAGCCAGGTGCGTTGTCAGAGACGGCAGGCCACCTGCAAACATCTCTTGGTATCTGGGTAAGTTTATTAATATTATGGGAAGAATATTATTAATATTAGTTTATTAAGAATTACATACAAAGATTTCTTTTTATTTTAAATATATTAAAATAATATTCTTATACATCCAATAATTGTCCTGCCTAGTAAAAGATAAGTCTAAGTATTGTTCATGATGTAGGGTACACCGGGGCTTAAAGGTTCGCGGGCAAATAGGCCCAACACTTTTATTTCAAAAACACTTCAAGTACAGAATCTTTTAACGATACGATTTTAGAGTAGAAGGAGAAAGATGTGTAACTAGTCAACACCTTAAGGAGGTATACTAGTGTAGAAATTCAAAAAAATCGATTTTTTTTTATTTCATATTTTCAAAGTTGAACTATCTAAGAATATGGGTACGAGAAGGTTTTTGAAAATTTGAATTATTTTCGGAGATATAGGCATTTTACTGACTCGGTCTCCATACTGGTTTGGCTTCACGCAAAACTTTAAATACGTTTTTCTCAAAACAGACTTTTTCAGTACTGTTGACACGATTTCTCGAATTTTAATCGACCGATTTACTTGAAATGTTCAGAGAGTCTTGTTTATAGACCTATCTATAGCCCGAACTAGGATTATCCCCAAATTCCAATTTTTACTATTTTTAAAAAATTCGAGAAACTCAAAAAATCAGTAAAAAAATATTTTTTTTCAAACAGTCGCCAATTTGTAAAAAAATTTTTTTTACTCATTGTTCGGGCGATTGCGACATCATTGTAGATTAATAATCTTTTTATTTTTTGCATTTCCGATGGCTAGGAGGGCTGAAATCATGTCAAGACATGATCATCAGCTGCCAGTTTTTACAATTTTTTACTTTTTTTATTTTTTAATTATTGTTTCGTATTTTAATAATATTAATAAACAAGTGGTAAAAAAATGGATAGTGAAGACATTTATTGCTTTCTTTTACGACACTTTAAAAATGACCTAAAATTCATCGCTCTACACTAGAATACCCCCTGAATTCATACTGATGGAGACAATCAAAAGATGAACAGCCTTGTATCAATATTTATAACAAAAGTAATTTTCCTTGTTGGCAGTTCATTTTTACCCCGCCTATGGAGTAAAAAGGGATAGATGACAAATTTGGGAAATATTGTACGAAAGCTTATTTCAATAATTGGGAATTTACTAAGAATTTTACACAACGATGATAATTTTATATCTGTTTTGTATTGTGATGTAGTTTATTTGGTTTAGACAATATACTTTCCATTTATTCTATATAAATCTAAAATATTATTATTATTAATTATTATTATTAAATTTATTTTATTGAAATTTTACAGAATTACTTGTACTATAAACTATTTTTCTTTCCATACGACATATTTTTGCAAATTTGGTGTTTTTTTCGGATGTGTTTTAAATTGAACGGGAAATGAATAGCTTTACGGCGTTTCAGCGTAGAGCGAAATTATTTTCTATTTCATCATGGTTTGCATTTTTATCATTTTTTTATTTCACTGGATATCATAACATAAGTTACATAAATTGAAATACGAAACCGTTTTATTTTGTTCATGTAAAGTTAACTTCAAATTTGAGTTATTGGAGCATTCATTTGTAATATTTAATAAATATCTCTTCATTAAATTTTATTTCATAGTATTTACTCGAACAGTGTAGATAAAGTTTTTTTTATTGATTATTTGTTGACTTTGTATACACGTACATTAGTCTTCATACATTCTATAATTAATCTTTACACTTTTATTTTAGTTGCTTGTATATAATTGTATGGTGCACCATATATCCTATCTTTGTCAATTATATTATAAAATTGATTGGGAGGAAGATTTTTTTTCTTACACTCTCTCTCCATAATTCTTGTCTACCATTTTCCAATTTTTTGCACTCCATAATGGCGTACTCAGCATCCGCCCTAGTCGCTCCACCCAAGCAATAGCAATTGGGATTAGTTAATTAATGGCAAAGTCGTAAATTATGGTAATACATGTCGGTAAAAATAATTATTATTTGATTTTAATAACGGCTATGTTTCAGCAGAGTTTTGTTTTCTATTTATATCATTACGAGATAATTCATTATAGTTAATTCATTTGCTAATAAAATTTCAGTATCAATTATTTCATTGCTATGATATTTATCTCGCGAACACTGTAGATAATGTATTAATTACTTGCAAAGTCGTAAATTGTGGCAAAACATGCCGTTAAATATAATTATCTTTTGATTTTATTATCTGCTAGATTATTGCCAGTTAGAGTTAATTAATTTTACTATTAAAATGTCAGCATCATTCACTTCATTGCTTTGATTCGAGCCCTTTTAAGAATATGTACTAAGCTTCAGCTATTAGAAGTCATTTTTTATAACATTAGTTTCAACTTTTAGATTTTGATTTAGTCTTAGTATTTGTATTGAATTTCTAAATATTCTATCCTGTGTTAGCTTAACGCTGATATCAATGCTGGTGCATTAGTGATTAACTCCTGCACATATACTATTTGTATTGCTTAGCTGCTTTTAGTTAGAAATTAATCGTTTATTTATCCAAACAGATGATGAACCAATCTACGATGGTCTGTCCGAACCTCAAGTGATCGATACCCCTGATGGCTTGGCTACCAGTGTCCAAAACATCACAAGGCGTTTGCAACCCAATGATGATGGCAGAAGGTTGACTTGTGTTGCCAGGCATTTGGCTTATAGAAAACCAAACCAAGCATCAGTAATTCACCATATCATCAAAGTTCAATGTAAGTAGATGAAATGTCTCAAATCAAAATCATGAATGATGTTTGTATTGAATTTTATTTTGTAATACAAACAAATAAATATATAGGATATGTGTATTTTGGAAGTCATTTGTGTGTATATTTTTATCCTCAGATGAACCTCTGCCCAGGGAACGTCCAATTGGCATTTTCGGAGTGACACTCGGCGAGTTAGCATATATCAATGTCACAATTGAAGCAAATCCACGACCAGTATTGGAATGGACCGTCAACGGTGAGAGCATCCCAGAAGGATCAATTGACAGCACACAAAGATTTGAAGTCACATCAGCTCAACCTTTGGTAAATAAATGAATATTTTATACAAAACTAGGACTGAAATATAAAATAGACAGAAAACTTCTTATGGTTACCTTCATATATATTTTATGTTGACCATGTTTATTTTCACAGGGACAAAATCGTTATAATGCCACATTACGTATTTCTGATCTGACTTTGGAAGATACAACGAAGGAATACCGACTTCGTGCAAGAAATGAAATTGGCATGACTGAATATGAAATCAGAATTAGCTCCAGTGAACCACCAATGGGTAAGAAGGCGTTTTATATTATATTATATTTTTTCATGAATAAGAATACATATACTTTATTTGCTTCATATTTTATATGAACATGAATCTGAACTATTGTTCGAGTTCTATAAGGTGATGTAACGAACATTCTACTACCATCTTTTTCTGAAGACAACCCAATTATTGCTTTTTTCTTTTTATTATGTGACATATAGCAAATTTTACTTCAAGACATATTTGGACCTATATTTTCATGTTGGAATTTAAAAAAAAAAATGGTGCTTTTAAATGTAAACTGTAGTCTTTAATTTGTAATAATTTAATGTTTACATCGTACCAAAAATGTATTTATGTTTTCTAGGGCGGGTCGATTTTAAGGTACATAGGCACGTATGATTTTCGGATACTAGGGATCAAAATAAGATACTTTGCTGATGAAACCGTGCCTCTAAAATGAAATTCTATGTTCCGTGCATTGACTGCAAGATAAGGGTTAAATTAAATTAAATTAAAAAAAACTCAGCGAGGATCCACATGGGTGGATCGGCCTTCCAAAGTTAGTGAGGGTCGGTTATACATTTGGACCCGATTGGAGTACTCTAAATGGGTCAAAATAAAATTTTATCGAATTTTAACCCTTATTTTGGGTCAACGGACGGGACATCAAAATTCATTTTAGAAGCATGGTTTCTTCAGCAAAGTATCTCATTTTGCGACTTTTTTTACCCATACAAATCGACCTGCTCTAATGTTTTCCCACTTAAGTAAAGAAAATCTTGTCATACACTTCGCTTTATATCATTCGACTGCCGTTTTCTGTACCTTGTTTCTGAAGAAACTATAAATGTACATCAATTTCTTTCATTCAGTTGGTTCTTTTAAATATTTGATTAAATAATATTGATTTGATTCTATTTCAGGCGGAGTTTTGGACCTTGGATCCATAGTTGGCATTGTCGTTGCCTTAGCAATTGTACTAATTGTGGTTATTTTGATCATTTTCGCAAGAGCAACTGGACGCTGGTGTTTCCACGGTAAGTGATTAAGAAAATTAGATTTTTGAAGTAGAGAAAATTATTAATATAAATATATATAGATTATTAAAAACTTCATGCCCGAAGCATGTTTGGAAGACATAGTGAAGCTAGACATAGATATTTTTAATCAGCAAAATACATATTAGATAATGCATTTATAATATATAGTTTTGCATGAAACATAAATATTTATTTATATATAAATAAATATATGCATCTATTATGTAATACAATATATGTTTTTTGTTTGAATCATACAATTTTAAATATATTTGGTTTTATCATAATATAAAAATCTAAGTTCACAATAATTTGTATCTCTTTATACCAAGAGGAATTAATTCATTCTTGCCATGGATATTTCAAGACAGTTATTTTCATATGTATAACCGTCCTGAAGTTACCAGAGAAAGTATTTTTTGGTGAATATTACCAGAACCAACAGTATTGATTTATAGATGAATGACTAGTGTCTATAGTAAATATTAGAATTGTTTATTTTTTACGATTAAAATGATCCAATCTGCATATTTATCCATACTAATCTTAGGAAATTTGTCCACAAATCATCAGCTTGGGTCATTTTTGTTTTCTTAGTTGGTTAATTTATAATGTTTAGTTAGATACTAGAAAACATTGGTTAAACAAGAGCTAACAACATTTAATTAAACATTCTTCATGCAAAATATGTAACAAATGAGATTTATACGCATTATTAACTTTAATATCTTGCACCCATAGAACCATTAATTATTAATTTGGAATTAGTTTATATTTGGATCACTTTTTTGGCTTATCCGAGGATTTTATCTTAAAATCTACCATCGCTCAAGTTCATTTAAAGATCTATAACTTTATTAATAAAAAAATATATGTTAACAAGGTTTTAAAATAACAAAAAAAATGGCTTTGCGGTTACATTAACAGATTGCTCTTAATAACGTGGGTTAGTTTTTGTTTTGAACTATAAATAATATAAATGCATGTTTTTAAACTCCTGAATACTATACACTTTTGCATGATTTAGCGCAATTTTTGTATAATAATAGTCAATTGCATGTTTAAAACTTCGTTAAAGCATTTGCATGTTTCTCTTTAAACTTAATCAATAATCCACTAAAATTATAACTGACTTTCAAACATATTAATATTTATTTATATCATAGAACTAATATTACAATTATTATTACCATATGTAACGACAATAAACCATATTATGTACAGACAGTATACTTAAACCAATACAACTTTTATGCTATTTATATAGAACAATATGTAAAATTATTAGCTAAATTTGTCAATGCAAGCCAAATTTGTATTTTTATTTATAAAATTAAATTAAATTTGAACGGGGTATTTATCAATTTTTTATATGAAATGTAGCTTAGTATTGAAGTAGTAGTAAAGTATTAAAACTGCTTTGGCTTTCTATAGTAGCTTTTAGTAGTCAACTAAATGTTGTGTAATAAAAATCATTTGTAATGTTAATTTTCGATTACATTGTAATTGCAAAATAATTGTTTGAATCAGATCATTTTTTCTATTTATGAGACCAAAACACGCAAACACGATAATGTACATGTGACAAATCATCCTTTTATTCTAATGATTATATTTTTTATTTCTTATTATTTTCAATAATTTCAATTTATGTTCTAACATTTCATTATTAACTAAAATTGTCATGAAAAATTTACTAATCTTTTTGTAGCCTATAAAAATAAATTCATAGTTGACTTATAATTTTCAATAGTTCTTATACCAGTCAAAAAATTGTAGTGCAATTGACCATTTTTATAAATTATATGTTAAGAGTGATTAACAAAGGTGAAATTATTTTATAAAGTTTATTAAATATATAGAAAAGTTATATTTATTTTTGTTTCAAAATTCATGTTCTCAAAATAAATAAAACAAGTATCAGGCCATTTTAAGCACCACGTTTTTAGAGCTTGAGAAGCCGCGTTGTATATATTTTATGATATTTATATAAAATTAGATTTAAACGGAATAATTATTATTTGTACTGTGAAAGTAATTAATCTCAATAAGATACACACAACATATTTTTTTCTCACAACATACACCGTTCAAAAAAAAACTTACTATGAAACATTTTTTCCAAAATCGTGATTTTGTTGTTTAATCAAATTGTTGTTAGTTCTATGTATCTCCAATATTTTTTCGTGTCTAACAGGTGGTTCGTTGAATACTGATTTGAGCAAAAACGTCGTCGATGGGATGGACTCGGAGGCCCAAATTAATGTCAACGATAATAGTAACGAGACCGACGAATACACGAAGCAACAGGTTGAAGACTATCGCGACCACCACAAGATCTCCAATGGAAAAGATAAAGATGGCAAGAAAACAAATACACCAGTTTAAATACGAATTTTATTACATTATATGTCTATTTAGCTAGTTTTCAAAAGGCATTTTGTTTGAAGATCACAGTTTTTGCATTTTCTTCATAAAAATGTCCAAATGCGCTGGTAATCTAACGCAGATAATTTGATTTTATAGAAAATGAATGCGAAACATAAGGCGAAGTTGAAATTCTAAAATGTTTGGGAGGGTGAAATATATTATATATTAATATATATATATATATATATATATATATATGCCAGGTGTCCCAGACCTTAACGTCAAGCCGAAACGTGGTAACAGTATTATTCTTAACAGCCCTGAAAAAAATTTAGAAAACAATTATCTCACATTGTTTGGAAATTATGAGCTTTTAAAGTAAACCTAGAGCTTTGGTGAAATTGTGACCATTTTTCGGTTATCGAGAGCAATTTTTATTTCTTTTGTTAATTTAAACTTTGGCCGATTTTGTTTATTTAAACCGTAACCGTCAATAACATTTATAGAATAATCACAGTCAAAAATTTTAACACACTTGCAGGCAGTTTTCGAGAATTAGGACTTTTTGTTCAACTGTGATTTTTTTTAACTTTTTTTCACTTTGAGACTTTTATAAAAATGCACTAAAGTGTAATAACAATTTTAATCAAACAATTTTTTTTTTAATTGTTGAATAAAAATTAACGACAATATCCAAAAAATGATCATATTTTTACCAAATCTCTAGGTTGCACATAAAAGCTAATGTGTAATAACAATTTTAATCAAAAAAATTTTTTTTAATTGTTGAGTAAAAATTAACGGCAATATCCAAAAAATGATCATATTTTTACCAAATCTCTAGATTGCACTTAAAAGCTCATAATTTTCAAACAGCGTGGAATAATTTTTAATTTTAAATTTTTAGGACAGTTACGGGCAATAATATCACCTCGTTTGGGCTTGACGTTGAGTTCTGGGACACCCTATATATATATATATATATATATATATATATATATATGTTCTCATAAAAAAGATCTGACTATGAAATACTCGCAGCAGAGGATTGAATTTTAATTAGAATAATTTTATGATATTTTTCCCTTGCTGTGAGAGATTAGTGTACTCAAATAGTTTTAACTTATTCGAATCTACTTAACAATATTACTTTTTGATACTCGCAATACTATATTGAAAAATCGGTATATGGAATTATCAGTTATGATATTGAATTGTTCACTATCAATTTTTGTAATAAAATTATTTATCTTCATAATTATTATATTAAATGACTGTAACCATCGTTTGTGAATTTCTCTATAAATTTTCTGATGATTATTTTTATATTATATTATATCTCTGTCTGTAATGATAACTATCAGTTCTATAAACCGATTCAACCAGAAATAATTTTTTGTACAAATCCACATATTGATTAATTTTTGTGCACGATTGAAATGTTAAGGCGTTGTACATAGAATCTTCTCAAATGTTTGATATTATAGATTAATCGTAAATTAACGATAACAATTTAAATAATAGTAATATTAAATATAGTATCATAACGTTTATTATAATTATGTAGTTATAAAATGTTTATGATAGAATATATAAATATATTTTTCATTCCTTTTATCATCAACATATGCAGTTTAATCTAAATATACGTGTGATATTTCAATAAAGAAATCACTTAGTTTTTTTAACAAATTTTCATGTTTTGAAAATCGTTTAGATTACATCTGCATCATTTGTATATATGAGAAGCGAAAAGCACTTCAAAAATTAATCAAAAAAGAAATATTCGAAGAGTTTTCAATCTTTTATTAGGTATAAACGCAAATTATATTAATAAAATAGAACTATAAGTAAATTGAATATATATACATGCTGTTGAAATTGAAATCTTATATTAATTTATTATACAGTTAAATTATTTCTAAATTATAACTGTTCAAAAATATAGTTGCAACAGGATAGCATGTATGTATATGAAAATTTTCTGAAATGATTATATTTAAATGAATGTTGCATATAATAGAAAGAATAAATATTAGCTATTCAATGTTGATTGTGCGAAAATAATAATGTTTAAAATTTATGTACTAACCGTAAGACTGCATAATTCAAATTAAAATCTTATTTATAATGACAATTGCATATATTGTATAAAATTTGCACTTCGGTCAAACCAAACAACATTCCATTATTAATAGGAAATCAATGCGGAAGTTATATTTAAAACGGATTTATTAAACTGAATATAATTCAAAAATAAATATTTCATGTTAAAACAGATTATACTTAACGGTCTCTAAATTTAATAGATGCATTTTCTTCTATTTCTTCTGATTTTAGAAAAAAATCTGTATCCATATGCAATAGAAGTGAGTTCTATTTACAGATTATAAGAAATTTCTTTTAACAAAATCTAAATGCATATTAACCTTCGTAGGAAATACTTGATTTTTTAATGCAGAGATTTTAAGACTTTTATCAAATCAATGTTAAAGTAAAACCATAATAAATAATAGTACTCTCATATTATCTGTTAATTTATAAAATATTTAACTATCATACTTTTTCGGTAAAGTTTAATTACAACACCGTTCCAATATTATCCAGCAGCTTCTTCATAATTGTAAAAATTCTATTTTTATTAGCATAAATTAATTATATTAGTTTTAAATTAGGTTTGTTTAAATTTTCAAGTAATTAATTACATTAAGTACATTAAATTATTTATAACATACAAAATTAATCTTTTTTGTTCTAGATACTTTATTATTATTGTTTAATCTCATTAATTATTAAGAATAGTCTAGAATTCAGAATTTAATAAAATGATCAATAAATTAATAAGAAAATATTCTTAAAGAATTTTTTGTATATTCGTTTAAAAATTTCACAGCTTTTATATCAATGAAGGTTTTTATAAAATTTATATGAAATATTCTACAAGCACATTCTTAGAATTAACATCAGAAATAATTGATTATATACACACAAATATATATATATATATATATATATATAAATGTTTGTGTGCATATTTTCGGATATATAATATGTCTATTTATAGAAAATTAAGGAGAATAGTATTTAATATTTTTATAAGTAATTTGCTTGGTATTGCCTTAGTAATTATTTACAATATATTATTTGTGATTATTAATTTAATGCGTATTTTTCTAAATAATGTTTTCTTTCTTTAAATTGGCAATAATGATCAAACTGCTTAATTAAATATGTTAATAAGTAAGAAATTATTTTTGTGACCTTTATTTCTCTTCAAATATAATATAAAAGTAAAAGTAACTATATGTAATCAAGAAGTTAATAATATGTTTAATGATTGTTTATCAAGAATATATTATGACAATGTTAAAAGTTATACTTTATTCAATTTCTCTATTTTTTATATCTGAAGATAAACTATTTATAGTTTGTTTCTACTTTTGTCAATATACATGTTTAAGTATACATCAAAACGCTAATTTGTATAATTATATATATATATATATATATATATATATACATAACAAATTATACAAATTTTCGTATATAATGTATAACTTTATGTGAGATTTATACACGCACGTGATTATGTATGTATGAATAAAATGAATATAACGAATTCTTAGGAAAAAATGTTTGATCATTTACGTTTTTTAACTAATTATAACTTTTAACCATTTATTTTAATTAATTTTTGTTCTGATTTGTTATTTCGTTATAGGTTCAACTGAAAATACTGATGTGGCCAAAACGAGACATGTCGGAGAGACGTAAGTTATTATTTATATAGTTATTTGTTTGAATATTTATTGTTAATTGTTTTAATTAGTAATATTTTAACGTATATAATTAATTTATAAATACGTAGTTTTTTACTGATCTAAAACTTTGAAGAACATAATCATTAACAATCAATTTAAATGTTTTATGTTTTAACATGTTTTTTTTTAATTATTAGATAAAAGCGTAATAATTATAAACTTACATATTGCAATAGTTAAATTTAATTCAATTTGGGTAAAAAAATAAATAGTTGGTTTTAACTTGTTCAAATTCTTGATGATCACTTATGTTGGTTACATAAAAGAAATATTTCTAAAATTATTTCCTTAACTATAAAAATCAGATATCAATAAATATAAGTATCTAATTTTTGTAGTTAAACAAATAGTTTCAGGAATACTTCCCATATTAAAATTTCTTCTGATTTTTCATTGAAAAAGTTTTTTTATAATAATATATTGTTGCTGATCTAAATTCACTAATGCAAAAATTTTGCATATAAAGTATTTATTCACAAGCATGTGACCATAGATTTATGTTTTTGTAATAATTATACATATTGCGCATCTGACCCGAGTCAAAAAATAAGTTCTAATTAGGACCCTACGCTTCGAACTAGCTGCTTTTAGGTACATAAAGCTCTTTCCAAGTACGTAAAAACAGTTACAAGCTCTTTTAGAATCGAAAGTACTACAAATAAACACATTATATTTTTGACATATACAACATAACCTCACCACTAGCAGAACATCTGAAAAATGCTTAAATTTACATGTTTGTTTAAATGTATAAACAGAATATATGATATGTCAAATCTCCAATTTCTCATGTAAATAATTAAACATAATTAAATGTATTACAACTAATAATAAAGTGTAATAAAAAAAACATTTTAATAATAAAATTTATTAAGTACATAACATACATAAAAGAAACTAATTATTTTTAACTCTTTGTTGCCTTTTTTTTACTCTAATTCATACTTATTTATAGGTAATCCTACATAAATATTTCCATCAATATTGATATATATACAAACATATAGTAATGATTTTACAGGAATAGCAATGAAGCTTTTTTTTCTTGTACATTTTTTTATAAATGAATAATTTAAACTTTTATATTTGTGACCTTTGCCGATGAAGCAATCTTCAATATTGGATTCTTCCACAATAGCAAAATGTTCATTATTAATTTTTAAAAAATAATGCAAGAATCCAATATTGTATTTGTTATTTAAATTGTAAGAAATAGCACTGGAATAAGTTTGCATGTTATTCCTGTACATTTCAGCAATAAATAATTGATCATTCTTCAAAACTCGAAGATAGTATTTTAAAGAAATGTTTTCAACTGTAATGTTAGAGGTTCGAAGTGCAACCTCTACTTTGCTTGGAAACTCTTTAAATACTTTATATACTCCAACACTATAAGTATGTTCAAATATTTTTTCAATTATCTTCACCTGTTTTTTTCTTTTTAAGCAAAACTCTTTAACTTCCTTATTTTTCATACATTCAATTATTTTCTCCTTCTTTATATAAAATTCTTGAGATTTGCTTACTTGAGAATCAATATGCCGTGTTCCATGAATTAATTTTAATAATTGGCCATTTATATCCTCATATTCGAAACAAGAATATACCCACAATGGTCCAAGATTCTGTACACAGTCTGGTAAATGTAATAATTGATGTACATTTATGGAGCAGTACATTTCACCATACAAGTATTCAAAACATTTAACATATTTGTGTAAAAAATCTCTAGCAACATCAAGTTTATACAAAGATATAGTATTGGAATTCAAAATCGAAATTCCAGCCACGAGCAACACATAATGTTCAAAATATTGTGGTGCAAGAATTCCATACAAAACAGGTAACGAGTAATGAAAGAACCACAATTTTAATTCTGATGCTTTCCAATGTAGTAACTCTGTAACACTTCGAGGCATCCGATGCACAAATTTGGGTGGTTTTATTGATTTTAATCTAGCATCAATTACATTTATCACGGCATATAAAGAAAAAGGCTTATTTTTAAATTCAGTATTGAAAAATAAAGATAACAATTTTTTTACAACACCACCTTCTACACAATGCATCCTATCAATGGCCATCCCCATGACATAATCAGGCATAATCAGTGAAAGTGCTGTGGGACCTTTGATTCCCATTATTGGTGCATCTCTTGAAGCATTGTCAGCAAATGATCTGCAATTTTGTAATGTTCTTTTCTCAATATTATTAGTATATGGGTATACGTGAACATTACCACCTGTTTCTAATGTAAAATTCATGCCTGGGCAAAAACAATATGAGCAACCGTAGTACCCGTTATACTGGACAAAATTTAAACAATCACTTCTAGCAGGCAAATCACAAGTGCCCAACAAAAGAATACCCTTGACTGTAATATTAATTCTCCGACATGGTATGTAAACCTCAATACCATTGACAAGTTTCTTTAGATCATCATAAAACACATGAAAAAAATAATTCATATTAGGCTTTTTGTCTCCATACCAAAGACCTAATAATAATGTATTTTCCCTTTTTTTGCGTTCCTTAATAGGTAACTCATTAAGTGTTAGATAAATAGGCCATGCACTGATTTTTGAGGATTTAAATACTGGTATGCCGTCTGTATACCAAGTGAATGAAATATTGTCAGGGTTACAAAGAAAGCCCTTTTGTACATATTTACGGTATAAAACACCATCATAGACATCAGATATACAATCTGGGTTATTATTTATCCGCTTATTATGGCAATCTTGTAGCTTCGAATAAAATCCATCTCTCTTGTACATTTCTCTCAAGTGTTCAAGAAATGGTAATTGAATAAAATATGGATTTTTTTTTGGGGGGCATGATGGACAAATGCTGTCAGATTCCAGTTGCACTCGTCCACAGAAATGGCAATAGTAATGTTTAATAAATTCAGAATGATCTAAAGAAAAATATTTTCTAAATTTGTACAGACTGTTTTTAACCAGTCTACTTTTCATACAATGCAAATTAATAACAGCAATTATATCAGCTATGCACTCTAGTGAAACGTTATGACGTAAAAAAATCATTAATATGAGAAACATGCTATTTGATACTGTTATTGGAGCATTTTCGTAAACCTGTTCATCAAAATTGACTTCTCTCTCTTCGGGTTGATCTAATTCAGATTCATCTTCCACTTCAAACACACATTTATGTTCAAGTTCATCTTCTTGATCATTTTGTTGAGAATAATCATAAACATCATTTTCAAGAATAGTATCATATCGTACACCATCATCACTGTAAAACGTATAATTAGACAAATTGATATGTGTAACAAAAATACAAAAAATAATTGATTTATAAAATGAAATGAAATCTACATGCTTACCGTGTGAGAGTTGAAATATTTTCAACTAAGTTTATAGATTCTCTATTATTTTCTCTATTAAAAGCTTGCATTAGCCGTTTTCGCATTTGTCGAGGGCCAACTTGATCTATAGATTTCCTTGGTATCATTTTAATACTTATATAAATGACAATTAATATATAAAACAACTCAAAAAATGAAAACACCAAAATTGCAAACACAAAAAACTGTATATGCAACGAAATTCAATGTGCACGTACATTTCGCGCCATAAAAGCTTAACAAGTTGTCTGCCGACCACTCTGAATGCCTATACTTGTTTATCTATGGCCTATGTTCATTTTTTTTATGTTATAATTATAGCAAACTGAAAATTATGTGATCATAAAAAATATAACATAAATAAATAAAAATATAATTTACATTAATTTTAATCTAAATAAATGATAATATAACATAAATAATGATATAAATAAAGACGAAAAAACACATAATGCAGAAAGGCAGAAAGACATAAATAAATAATACTATTATTTACATTAATTTTAACATAAATACATAATAATATAACATAATAATAACATAAATAAAGACGAAGGAACACATAATGCATAAAAGTAGCGAAACTACGGTCGGCGGTCAACTTGTTATCAACATCTGGTTTTTGAAACATAGTAAAATCCCGAGAATAGCGAAATGGCGTTGGCGTCGGTAGAGTGATTTGATCATTTGCGCGCGGTTTACTTGTTGGGTTTCGTTTTTGCTTTAAATTGTGTTATTTAAATTTAATTATTAAATTTATTTAATTATTAAAAATGCCTAGAACAAAAATGTTTGCGTTAGTGTTGTGGATGGAATCAAATCCACGTTGTACCGATATATTTCCTTTGAGGAGTATTTGCCCTACTGATAGGTATGTAAATGCAATCACAAAATTAAAGTGGAAAACAAGCAACAATGTTAAGGCAGGCAGAGGCGAAGCAAAGGTTTTGGCTATTAGCGGTATGTATATCTCAATGATTATTTTATAAAATGTATTAAATTTATTTTTAACTGAAAATATTGAATTTTAGATGATATGCAATTCTTGAACAATATGATTGTTAGTGTGGATGGCGACATAAATGTTCCTGCTAACAAAATATTTATGGCAAACATTGTTCAGGAAAATGCATCTTTACAAGAAAATCGAAAGGTAGAGCAGATAGTTGCTCTATCGAATCGAAAAGTTATGGATGCCAGGCTAAGGGTTAAGCCAACTATTTTTGATGGTGGTAATGCACTTAGCCTCACTAATGTTGACCAGGAGTATGTGATACTTGATGATACACCCATCGATTATGTTGACGACCAAGGCAACGTGCTTATTATTAATGGAGCTCCTGAGTCTACACATGAGATTCAGGAAATAATTAATGTGAATGACAGTGATTCTGAAGAGAGTTGTAGTTCTGCTAAATCAGCAGAACTACAGTGCTCAGAGGACAATGTTAACGCAGTCCCTCTGACAATTTCTTTTAAAGGTACAGTATAATATTTTAAAAATAATGTTTTTTATATCGAATAACTACATATTTCTATTGAATTAGTTACCCCGGAAATAATAGAGAGTGCACGTGTGTGGTTAACTGCATTGGAGGTTGCATATAAAACACAAAATGAGGTGAAGAAGATTGAGAATGTGCAATCAAATGCAATGGTCGAATCCAACTATAAATTCAAGGTAGTTATAAACTTCTCTTCATAAACCATGTAATATTTATGCAGAGCGCACCGTAAGTCTTTTTACTTTTTTCTTTATTTAAAAGGTACACAAACTCCATATGTGACCCATTCAAAAGCAAATTGACTTTTAGTTCACACTGTAATTAAGGATATAATTTATGTTCCAATCAACAATCTTTTTTCTACTTATAGATTCCAGCATGCTTCTACACTCCTGGAGAAAACATGGTAAATTAATGAATAAAATGCTTGCTTTTATAAGATATTTTCAATGCTAGGACTAAATATGTTTAATTCTGTAGGAAGAAATATCTCCAGGGTGTGGATTCTTTCTTCCCAAAAATAAAATAATATATATTGAGCAAATGTCGAAAGCAAACGGAACAGAAAATGGCTGGGTGAATGTAGTAAGGGAGGTGCTGCTTCTCGTTTATGGGGAGCAGTTGAAAAACTTCTCAGCCACTGGGATGAGGAGTAAGCGGCCTCCAATCGACCAAAATTTATTTGGAGGGTTATTTGGTAAATTTTTAAACATGCTTATATTGATATAATTGATATTATTATTAAGTATCTACTGAGGATTTGAAAAACATTAACAGCTACATAACTGAAATATAATTTATGCACATGAATCTAAACTGTTTTTAATGAAATAAATTGATATTTGTAAATGTGAATAGTATTAATGCAAGTATTATTTTTTCCAGATTGGTGCCGTCGATTGAAATTTATGCTGGACAAAAAGTCATTTATACATTACGTAAATAAATGTTGTGCCAATAAACGGGCAAATAAAAAATAAATATAAAATGTGTTTAAATTACTTATTTATATATGTACCTACTTCAAAGACCTTATAAATACATATATAATTGCAATCCATATGTATTATAAGGCCTATGACCTACCTACATTTTTATAAAATTTCAGGAAAATTTTAAAATCGTAATAACCTAACCTCAAACTTACACCCTGACAGTTTTGACATTTATTTATGCTCTTTTAAGTAGCTATAGTACCTTGAAAATGCAGGCTCTTTTAGGTAAATTACGTTCCTAAAACTGCACTAAGTGGGGTCTAATGTACCTAAAAGATCTTAAATTTATATGGCGAAAAGTGGTTAATTCTCAGGTTTCGGAACTGTTTTGAGTACTTAAAAGATTTTAAATTTCGACTCGGGGAACTTCAGCAGATTTAATTCGATATTTTCTTTTTTTTTTGCTAATTAAAAATAATTACTAACACTTTACTAACGTAACTGTTATTATAATTATTTCACTCACAATTAATGATTTTACTAACCTCTTTGTAACTTTAACATCAACTTCACTAACTATACATATTAAAATAATCAATGTCGTGAAGAAAGGTTATTTTCTTTGCTCATTTTATTATTTGTTGTCTAACTTTGGATTTACTCATGCAGCAATTGATTTTTTTTTTCATCTAAAGAACTTTTTTTTTTTAATATAGTTCAAATTTAGATGCGCAATATGTCTAATTTATTGGTAAATGTGTGATAAATATATTACATACAAGTTTGAATTAAATAAGTATAGTGTGCGTACTGATAACATAAGATTACAAGATTATTTTTCGTTGATTTTATTCGCAATAATTAATATGAATTTTGGCAGAATTCTTGAATTATTCACATGAATATTATTGAATTAAATGAGAAACAAAAAACCTTTTTTCCTTTGTTTTGAGTACGCACTCGGGTTATGTAGTAATCATACTAACAATGCATGTTTTTCGTTTGTTCCACATTTCTGGGTGTTCTGCACGTTCCTGCTTTTTGGTATCCTTATTCTAATCTAATACGTATTTGGAACTTAACTATTGAAATTTGGACGTCCATGTACAATACGGCTATAGCTCACCTCAAATGATAACATTATTACCGCCTTCGCTTCTGGACCAATCCCTTAGGCCTCAAAGACCAGGCCAAACAAAAAGACCTTTATCTCTTCATCACTCATCTGTGGACGATGGATCAACTGATGATCAGCCATCAACTCCTTCGGATTGGAGAACTATTAATAACAATAGCCCTGGTACGCCGTCTTCGTCGCCAACCTCAGATATAGTGGCAGGACCTGGTTCCAATATCCGAATAATGGGTGGTTCCAATTCGCGCCTAAACGCACGATATGCTACCAAACAACTTCTGATGAGCCATGCTGAGAAACGAATTAATCGGAATAGTTACTCTACGGATATTTATTAAGTTATTTCACAATAAGTGCTTTGATATGTTAAATGAAAACTTCATCTTCTATTTGCTGAAGCAACTTTTAATTTTAGGAATTTGTATTCTACAAATGTTGTTAGAAAAGTGCATAAAATAGATGAAAATGAAAAAGTAAGCCAAAGATTTAGCCAAAATATTACAATTTCAAATATTTTATAAATTCTTTCTGTATCAATTTCTAATTGCGAATTATTAAAATGTCTGAATTGTTATTAATAAACAGATTAGCAGAAACAACGGCGCGCTTAAAGCAACTCTGCCAGGATTTATATAATAATGTAGTTGAAATTGATGTAAATGCAAAATTAGTATGAGTTTCTAAAATTTAGGAAAAATAATCGTAAGATAATAGAAAAACAAATATTCAGTTCAAATCATTTTGGACAAAGCATTTGCGTTTTAAATCAAAATTGAAAATTATCTATTAATTAATTGAAATTATATTTATTTGTTATTGTGTTTAGCATGTTACTTATTAAATTATATGAATTGCAATATAATATTGTATTACAGTACTATATCATATCGATTGTCAATATGATTTTGCATTACTGATAGTAAGTATAATTTGTTGAATCCCAATTGTTTAAAAATTTAGTTTAATTATAAGATCATTTCTACCTCCCACAGTGTTATTTATATAAATTAGGATTAAAATGTAAATATATTATTAGTAGCAGCAGGTATTAGAAATTAGTTTCTTTGTAAGTATATTTAAAAATGAGTTTGTGTATTTAAAAAATTTTGGTGCATAGTACTTACATTAACTGTGAATAACAAATATTATTGACAAATGCATCAAAGTGTTTATTGTTACAGTAATAACTTAAATAAATGTATTAAATATTTTGGATTTTTGCATGGGTGTTTTGGCATATGGTGTATCATAATATATTTTACACAGAGCACTTTGCACTATCATCATTTTATTTGATTGGCATGACAAAAGGTAAGATTATTTATAGATTTTTTTTATTTGAATCGTTTATTGATTTATATTAATTTGGTGTTTGGAAAATATGTAATTACATTAACAGATTTTAATATTTATTAATTTTTTACAAATATATGACTTTACCTTTATTCTCACCATTTTTGTTCCAACATTTAAATGTTTGTTCAATTATTATAATATTATGATGGCTGTGAAAATATAAATTTTATGATAGAAAATTATCATTTCAACTAATACCTTAATACTGTTTCAGAAGCGACACTGAAAGTGCAGAAATTTCATCTCATTCCAACAAGCGTCTTTGGGTAAAGAAGCTCGACAGTTTGAAGGAAACTTTCTCGATCAAAGGCAAAAAAGGCGAAGATATTAGTATGCAAAAGCAAACTTCTAAACCATCAGAAATTCCATCTAACGAGCCTGCTGCAGAAGAAGAACAGGCGCCTAAGACGCAGGTTGAAGTAGTATCTGAGGTTGGAACGACGGATGAGGTCGATGCGGCAAAGGTAAATGCCTTTTTTTTTAAAAAAATGTAATTATACAGTGGTCCTCCGAATTACGAGTGTTTCGAGATACGAACTAATCTATTTTTATTTTTATGTCTTATTTTCAGATAACCCAGACAGATAGTGGCATTGTTTACGCGGAATTAGAATTAAAACCAGGGGCTGGACCAACTGTAAGACCAACCGTTAAAGTTGAGAATGATAAGACTGAATATGCAGAAATAGTACACGTGAAACAAGACAAAGACTCTCCAAAGTGAAATCTCGATTAAAATTGTTTCATTTTAATTTGGCTAATTCACGGTAACAAAAAGCTCCTTTAATCCAATTCCTCTCTTTATTAGTATTTAATCCTGGCGATTTGATTTCATATCATTTTACTAATTATATAATCGAATCTTAATTTAATATCACAAAATTTTTCGTGTCGTACTAGACAAAAAATATTCATAATATTGCCATTCAATACGAAATCATCTAAGTACAATCATTATTTAATAAACATGCCATATCTTCATGAAAATTGTAGAATTAATGTTAGTAATTTTATATATATAAAAATCGTAATGTAAGGAAAAAGTATTTGTAGATATTTAAGGGTTTAAGTCAAATATAAAATATAAAAAACATTGAGATTTTGTTAGTATTCACAAATTATTTTAGAACTAAAATATTCAAATTACAATTTAATTATGAATGAATTCAAAGTCTTAAATGTCTATAGATTAATAAAACAAAAGTTTGTTTTGTCCAAAAATATATTAAATAACATTTATTTACAAAATTATGTAATATCACAATTATAAAACAATCTAATATGTAATATTAATTATTAATTCCATGTATATATATCTGAAATTGATTGGCTTAATTTTCTTTCATAAATCAACTTCATGATATCAATCTCATCAAATCAACTTATAATCTCAAATACACTCATAATCCCATTTTTATTATTGAAAAAGTGCTATCAGATGCGAAACAATTTCCATGTGTTGACATGACATGGAAAATTTTACAAAAATATTTTCAAAATCAATCATGAATAAATGAATGGCATTGGTTCATTTCATTTTAAATTGTTTGTGGTTTATTCTCATTTTACCAAGTTAAAAATATTATCATAACCATATATTTTCGGCTTTTATTTGCTTCTGATAAGCATAAATCTTGTTCATTAGAAAAATGTATTATGAATGTAATTCAGCAATTTGCTTTTAACACATTTTAATCTGATTTAATTATATACAATTAGTGAGCATTCGTCACAAAATAAAATTTAATTAGCAGCTAATACGTCATTTATACTTTCAGGATAAAAAACATTTCTTTGAGTATGGCTTGAACGCTGTAATTCTTTTTTAAAATAATTTACTGTCTTTTGCAGACCTTCATGCAGCGAAATCTATTTCAAGAATAAAAATGGTAAGAATATTTATAATAAAACTATAATAAGTTTGTTACCTTTGGTGACCAATTCAAAATTTCACGTGCCCTTGTAATATCAGGTTTTCTACGTTGGGGATCATCTTCCACCGCTGCAGTTTTTAATATTCTGCTACTACCTCCTGCTATATCTTTTATTATTACTGCAAATTCTATTTTGTAAAATTGTATTAGATATTTTTATAAAATGATGAAAAATATCTTATTATGATAATACCTTCAATTGTGTGCTCAATAGGATTACCAATATTTACAGGTTGTGTATAATTTGAAGCCATCAGAGCCACTAACCCATCCACTAAATCTGTGATGTACTGGAAGGACCTGGTTTGGCTTCCATTGCCATATACCTAATTTTTTTTTTTCATTATTAATATAAAATTTTATATTTATATAACTAATTAACATCTAGTGGGTACTGATTGTGACAATTTTTCAGTAGATTTATTAGAATCAGCAGAATATGAACATTTTAAATATAAAAATGGATTATTTTATAAATATATTAAATGCCTAAGTGTTTACACTCACAGTAATGGGTTCATTCCTTAATGCTTGTAATATAAAATTGGAAACTACTCTCCCATCATTCATATGCATTCGGGGCCCA